TTTAGCATTTGCAGGTCATATGGTTTCCACTCAACCCTGTTGTTGCTCCAAAGCAGAGGGAGAGAATATGTAAACAAAGGGGGGTGGCTGTTCCCAATAAAACTTGATTTATATGAGCAGGTGGATCTGGCCCTCCCATAACAGTTGGCTAAGCCCTGATGTAGTAAGCGATCCTTTTTCTGCCTGGCTGTGTCAATAACCATCTGGGAGACCTTCAGTCAGTCACTTACTCCATTCCAGGCCTCACTGTTCACATCTGTTAAGTGGGGATCAGGTACCGGTTCCTGGTGAAGTGGTGAGGATTAGGACAAGTGGGAGGAATATGAAAACTCTGACACAAATGAGATGCTTGGTGGCTGTGAATTCCTGTCTGTGGAGTGTGGGGCCTGTGCCTGTTAATACATTGGATTCTCCCTCTTGTTTTTTCTCCCCAGAAAATGTTTAAGGTGGAGAAGGTGAACTGCATCTGCGTGGACTGGAAGCGTGGGGCCAGGACAGAGTACAACCAAGCCGTCCACAACATTCGAGTCGTGGGAGCCGAGACAGCGTTCTTAATACAAGGGTTGTCGGTAAATCCTCCTGAGCCCCATCCTGTGGGGAGGCGCCCGAGGGGGCAGGCAGACCCCGTGCACCCAGAGGCCGCCTGGGGACTGGTGCACAGGGGCTGGGCCTGGAAGCCTGGACACACAGAGGGGCGTTTCCTAAAATGAAACTGCAGCCTTCCCCTCCTGGAGTGTCCTGAAGATCCCTAGTGGCGTCTGGGGCAAAGGAACCACTTTGGGCCTCGGTTTCCCCTTTTGAAATAAGCCATCAACTGAGGCTGTTCTGGGAATTGTCAGCCCAGAAGATGGGTCTTCTTTCTCAGAAAGGGGAAACCCCTTACCGCCTTCTGGAAGGTCTATTCCCGAGCACCCAGAGCTGGGCCCGCTACCCAGGCTCTGCAGGCAGGCCCAGGCCCAGCGGGAGGGGAGGGAGGCCGCTGTGGGTGTGGATGGAGCAGGCAGCGCCTGGCCAGGCTCCCCAGGTCGCCTGTAGTGGACACAGAGGCCGCTGGTCAGCACTGTTGCAGCCCCTTCTTCCCTCCTCCCTTCTGCCGCCCCAGCCTGCACACTGGGACTGGGGTCTCTGGAGACTGCGCTGGCCCAGGGTCGGGTCATGCTGGCCTAGGAGGTCCAGGAGCCAGGTCATTGCTCCTGAGACCTGTCCCCATCCCCTTCCACAAGCCAGGACGTCTCCATCGGGCCTGGAGGCCCTGACACTCCATTCTTCCACAGACCAAGATGGGCTACAGTTTGGAGAACGTGCACCTCATTGGCCACAGCCTGGGCGCGCATGCAGCTGGCGAGGCGGGCAGGAGGCTGGGGGGCTCTGTGGGCAGGATCACAGGTAAGGGGTGGAGGTCTGAAGTGACGGGTAGGCTTGTAGGGTGATGGAAGTCCAGACACAGGCACTTCTCATGGCCAAGGGCTTCCCCACTGGTCCACCAGCTGTACGGATTTTAGGTGCTGCCAGACTTAGATTTAAAAAATAATTGTCCATATATTTTCATGTGAATTACAAAAAATATAGGATTGTAACTAAAAACACATTTATTAAAAAAGAAAAATGTAACTAGCACATTCAACTCATGACTTCAGGATTATTATTGCTAGAGTACGGCAGACTTTTGAAGATTGAAATGGTTTTTAATACGAATTCATCAGTTGCACAAATATTAATTGTCAGCTACAGGCAGAAAATGAAGGTAACTGACACCTGTCACAGGAAGTACACAAAAGATCAGTGGTTCTCAACCTTCTGGCCCTTTAAATACAGTTCCTCATGTTGTGACCCAACCATAAAATTATTTTCGTTGCTACTTCATAACTGTAATGCTGCTACTGTTATGAATCGT